ACGTGGGGAGCATTGCACATCTGCAGAGTGGCCGCAAGAGGGCAGCAGGTGCCAGGGTCTGGGCTGCCCCCAGCTTCCAGGTCAAGGAGGGCGGGGTTCAGAGAGGCTGGCCAGAGCCAGTGCCCTGCAGGGACCTGGCTGCTGGTTGGCTGGAGGGAAGATAAGGAACTTGGGTCTAGTCTTGGACAGCCCTCCGAGCTGCTTATGGTCATTGGTCCTCAGCCTGCCCCATCCACAGAGTCTCCTGTGTTGGCCTGCGACTCAGGCTCTGTGCCTGGGTTGGCTCCACCCACCTACCCTAATCTTGGGGTAGCCAGTTAGGCTCTGCCCTCTCCTGCCCCTGGATGCTTGTCTCCCTGCAGTGTCCCAGGACTGCTCCCTTCTCCCACCCCTATGCCTGATTTTCTTTTCCTTTTTTGATTAAATGAAGAAGTGGGGAAGAGTGTCAGGTGGACAGGGCTGGGCAGTAACCCGCAGTGACCTGAGGAGCATGGATTAACTTTTGGTGTGGGATTAACTGGGTTTTATTTGGGAAGGCGCTTAATCTTCAGGGGGTGGGGGATGGCTCCTCACATCTTGGTGTTCCCTTGCATCATGGTGTTGCCTTATCTCTTCATTTATTTATTTTTAAAAAAATCTGTATGAAGCATCTACCAGGCACCAGGCACGTTGCTAGATACTGGGGACGCAAACCCAGTAATGGCTAGCGCCTGGGATCCCACCACCCCAGCAGGGGCTGCTCTAAGCCCCCAGTGTGTTAACTTGACCCTCAAAGGAACCCCTGTAGGTACGGGCTATTACTATAATCTCCATTTTACAAATGAGAAACCAGGCACTGAGAGGGCAAGTTAATTTGCCTGAGGCCACACAGCCAGTAAGTGGCAGAACTGGGCTCCAAACCAGGCTGCCTGGCTCCAGAGTCAGTCAGCGTACTGAAAACGCAGTGTGGAACTAAAGCAAATGAGATGCTTCTTGCCTGGGAAGCAAGGAGGAGACTAGGATGTATCGAACACTGGTGTGCCCCTGACCTTGTACTGCACACTTGACAGAGATTACGTCCTTGAATCCTCCTGTCAAGCCCGAGGTCGTAGGTTGCACCGATTTTACAGATGGAAAAACGAAGACTTGGGGAGGTGAAGCCACTTGTGCACATAGTTGTGCTGCCCATGGGTGGGGGTCCCGTGTCCTGAGGCAGGCCTGCCCAGAAGTGGCCTTGGTAGAGGTAGAAGGGCAGGATCCAACTTCTGAGCTGAGGGAGCACAACAGAGGAGCATGTGATGAACAGAGGAAAATGAAGCAAAAAATTCCAAGGGAAGGGGAGCTGGGGGGACCCAAAGTTGTGGGGGCGAGGGAGCTCACATGGGACCTGTCCTTCGCCTGACTCTGTCCCTAGGATGGGGCCTTGGAGTGAGCTGGTGATGCTGTTGAAGTCTCCTTGCCCCACAGCCGGTGGCCCTGGGGCCCCTCAACTCCGGCCCTCGGCCCCTTGCTCCCATTTCCGTGGGTGAGCACACCGAACTCAGCATAGCAAATGCCAGCCTCCAGGCCTTTGCTCCTGCTGCATGGATCGCTGGCCCTCCCAGCAGTCTCTCTTTCCTGGCCTGGCATGACCTTCCTTCCAGCCCTGCTTTTTCTGAGAAGCCTTCCCTGACTTGCCAGCCCTCCTCCAGCTCCTGAGGCTCCCAATCTCGGCCTGCTCACGCTGTCCTGGGCACAGGACGCTGGGGGCTGTGCTGGTGCACCTTTGCCTTCCCCTCCCCTCCTTCCCAGCTGGCCTCCCCTGCACACAGATTGCTCTGAGTCCCCCACCTCTGTCAACCTGGACTGTTGCGTGGCTCCATGCTGTCCCCTCGATGTGCTCTCCCTCCCCCACCCCACTCACTATTCTGTCACTGTTTGCCCTTTGAGGCCCACCCAGTCCTTACTGCCTCCCCCAGGCCCTCTGTAGGCTCTCCCCCACCCCTTGGTCTTGAGTGTGCCTCTGGACCACACCACCTCTGCTCTTGTACTGGCCTCTGTTTTTGCCTTGAGCACATTGTACTTCCCCCCACCCCCACAACACTGTGACTTCATAGAGGAGAATAGGCTGGCATGGTACCTGCTTCTGTATCCCAGCCAAGGACAAATGGCGGTTTAGCCAAAGTGAAGCACCATGAAGTTCCACTTATTCTCCGACGTCTGCGCTTGAGTGTCGCCTCCCTTGGGAAGTTCTGCTGACCTCCCCACGGTGGGACTAGGAGCGTCTTGTAGCCATCAGGTGGGTGTTTGCCGGGAAAGGAGCAAACGCAGGCACTGAGTGTGAGGTCCCCGAGGTCCAGACGGCCTCACTTTTGCCTCTACACCCTGCGTCTCTGCAAGGCCCATCCCCAGAGCCTTGAGAATGCCCGGGTGTCTGTGACACGCGGCTGGCAAACGGCGGCTGCAGTCGCATGGGTTCCAAGACATCTCGGGGCCAGAGGGGAAAGATGAAGAGAATTCCAGGTTCCGGGGCACTTTTGGCCAAGTCCACGAGTGCTCCTGGGACTGGGGTGTGGCGTGTGGGCTGGACTTCCCTCGGAGCCTGTTCCGTTCTCTCTGAGGGTCATTAGACATCTGCCAGCCCTGCCTCCCTCTGCGTGGGGCTCCTGGCCCGTCCTTTGCCCTCTTTGGCCTTGCCCCCAGAGGAGGGCTAGCTAGGCTGCGCTCTGGCCTGCCCATGACCCCCAGCCTTCCGTTACCCAGCAGTCTGCCCACGGCCTCCCCAGGCAGGAGGATTAGGGCTGGGCTGCGCTCCCAACTGGCCTGAAGCACAGATGTGCGGGGCTCCGTGCGGGGCACCAGGTGGGAGGATGCAGCGGCCTAGTTCAGCCCCCTCAGAAGCACACAACTCTGCTTGGCGCAGGTACCAGCCCCGCTGGGTCAGGGTCCTGCCCTTGCTCCCTAGCCTCTTCATCTACCCTGCCTGCCTCTGAGAGCCTCCTCCATTGCCACCCAAGCCCCCAGGCTCAGGAGCCTCTCCCCTTCCTGCCTCCCTAGTGCTTCACCATCCCTTGGACCTTCCGGGTGGCTGCTCTGTCCCCCTGCCTCTCCACCCATCTCTACCTTCATCCCCACCCCGCCCCGTGTCGGTCCCCCTCCCGACTGTGGCCTCCATAGGCATGTCCCCACTGCTGTATTTTCAGCTGCCACTCTGTGTGGTGGCCTTGTGGTTAACCCCTTGTTTCCACACAACTGTGGCCCAGGAGTTGAGTTGGGGAGCCCCGGTTGGCACTGCCCCACCCTTGAGGGGGGTGGGAGAGGAGCACTTAGGCCCTTGCACCTTGTCTCCTTGTCCAGTGCCAAGCATCAAGGGCTGGGACCCCCAAAACTGGGGAGGGACAGAAGTCTGGCAGGAGGCCCAGGAGTTCCTGGGGGACGGAGCTGAAGTTGCTAAGGTCCTGAGCAGGGGCAGACTAAGGTAGCTCTCTCTACCAGGTGGTTAGATTGCCCCAAGGGAAGGTTGGGGGAGAGGGGGAGGGGTGCCGGGGAGGCAAAGACTGGGAAGAGGAATTGGGTCAGGGATGTGGGTGGGTGGGTGAGAGGGGACGCCGGCATCTGTTACAGAGCTTCCTCCTGGCTCCCAAAGCATCACCACACTTCCCTTCCTCTCCCCTCCCCCCAGGTCCTGGGAGAATTCACCCTGGTATTCCCCCTCCCCCATGCCCCCGCCCCAGGCGTTGCCACAAGGGGGGGTGGGGGGTGGGGGGAGGCCAGCCTCAGCTGTCTGAAGGATGGAGGGGCTGGGGAAGTAGGGCTAGGTGCCCAGACGGCCGCGTGTGTGGGAGGGGATGTCCTCAGATGCCCTCCACCCGGCAGTCCCCGCTCTGACGTGGGTGCCCCCCCTCTCCCTGCCCGGATTAGTGGCAGCTTGGCCTGACTCTCCGGGGCTTCTTCCCCCGCCCCCGCCTGCTGCCCTCCCCTTGGCAGGGGGCTGCTCCACCCGAGGGGCACTGTGCTTGCCCAGGTAAGGAGCTCTGGGGACAGTGTGAGGGCAGCTGGCTTGTGAGTGCTGCTGTGCTTGTCAGCATGAATGTGTGTCTCAATGCGTGTGTGCGTGTGTCAGTGTGTGAGGGGTTACCGTGGGGCCGGGTGGGCCCACATGCGTCTGGGTGTGCTGGTCAGCTTGCCTTTGTCCACGAGCCCAGCATTGTGTCCACGCATTGTGTGGCTTTCCCTCTGTGTTTGTGTCTTTTGTATGTCTCCTCAGCTCTGCTCCGTCCTCAGGCACAGAAGAGCCGGCTACCAGGGCTCTGTGGGCCTGTGGCTTGGGCCGTGGAGCAGGATGGGGAGCTGGGTGAGGGTGGAAAGGGGCTCCTTCCCCCACCCCATCCCTCTGACCCCCTGGGCACTTTTGGAGTCCTGACCCCCTGTCCTGAGAGTCCTGGCCTAATCCGGAGTCTGTGACCTGACAAAGCAGACATGACAACTGGGGTGGGGTGGCGGGAGGTGCCCATTCCCGCTCCTCTAGGACAGTCCCCATCCCCTGTAGGGATGGCAGTGACAGGCCCTTAGGGCCCTGGACAGTCCAGGCTCCCACCCTGCCCTGCGCAGCCTCTTCTAGGCCCCGAGCCGCAGGAGCCTCCCCCCAGACTCTCCCACAATCTCCGGCTGCCAGAGGACACAGACGGGGGACCACAGGCACACCCCAGCCCCCATCTGCACCCTGGAGCCAGCTTGGGAGTGGGAGGCCGGGGCCTGGGTCTTGGGATTGCAGTCCGTGGCAGACCCTGCACAACCACTGCCCCTGGCACACTCAGGTCTGGCCACCCCTCAGGGCAACTGGGGGAGGAAGGCAGTGTTAATAACTCAGTCAAGTAAACAACCCCTACCAGCTTGCCCAGCCACAGAATTGGCCTCTGGGGGGAGGTGACGGGCCAGAGGGGATCCGCTCCAACCTGACCCAGGTCCTGCCCAGGGTGGCCCCTTCAGACCTCCTCTTCTCCCGGACCCTGCTCTTTCCCTTAGCTGGTGAGAGGACCCCCAGCTCCCCTCCGGTCTTGTGGAAGGAAGGCTCCCTCCCTCCGGGCTCTCCTGGCTCCCCTCTCCAGGGATGGCGCTGTGACCCGGGACCCAGCTGGGCACCAGAGGACTCCTCCCTGCCACGGGATGGGGTGGGTGGGGTGCCGCTGCCTCAGTCAAGTCACGGGCTGGGTGACAGCAGGCCAGGATAGCTTCCACAGGGAGGCAGGGGAGTCTCGGGGTGGGAGGTGGGCGCCTGAGGGGAAGGGAAGCGCCCGTTGGGCGTGTGGGTTTCTGTGTGTGTCTGAATCTGTCTGTGTGTGTTTGAATCTGTCTGTTTGTGTCTGTGCTCTGGAACCACCCCCGCGGAGGAGCCGGGATGCTTCCTCGGGTGGAGGGTGCCCTGCTTTCCCATTTCCTCTCCTCCTCTCTGCTCCCTCCCAGGAGCCACTCCCATGGGCTCCTCTCCAGGGCTGGGCCCGGAGCACTAGGAACAGGCATGGGGCAGACCCCCAGAATGTGAGGCCAGAGCAGGTGGTGGAGCTCAGCTGGTCCCACCAGACACTTGGTGAAATCCAGGCCCCTAGAGCAGGGACAGGTCAGAGCCCAGGCCTCCTAGAACCGTGAACACGGAAACCGCACCGTTGGGCCTCAGGAGGGGGCTTGGGTCAGAAGGTGAAGAGCAGCTCGCACAGGTGAGGAAGGGGCAGGACGGACACGGCCAGCGAGGTGTGCCCGTGTGCCAGAGCTGGAGAGGACCAGGAGCGAGTGGTCCAGCAGGCACAGGGCCGGCTGGCGTCGGTCAGAGCGCCCATCACTGACCCGTGAGAACCCGACTGCCCCTGCCAGCTCTGGCACTGTCCCCTCCCAGCCGCCTGCTCTAGCACCCCAGGGGGGCACCCCGCCCCACCGTGGCCTGGTCCGGCCCCTCCCGCCCTTTGCTCCAGTTCCCGGGCTTGGCACCTAGAGTGGGGGTGCTGCCCGCCTGCTAGGCTCCGGGGCCGGGCCCACGGGAGGGTGGGGCGGCTGGGAAGCTGGCACGCTGCCCCCGGGGAGCCTCTCTCGGCAGGCGCCCGGGTGCCGCGGGGGGAGGGGGGAACAAAGGGCTCATTCTCCCCGTGCGCAGCCGGTGGCATCGCCGGGGCGTTGGCGGAAGCCCCCGGGGCCTGGGAGGGGGCAGGCCCAGGCGGGGCCGCCGAATCACGGGCTCCTGTTTCCCGCAGGGTGCTGGAGGAGGAAACCGGCGGAGCAGCTTCCCCACTCTCAGTTGCGCGTCTGGCGATGGCGATCAGAGGTCCTGCTGCGCTCTCTCTCCATTAGCAGCGCTGAGACGCTTTGCGCCCTCGCTGGTGCCTCTCTCCTGGGTCCCGGGATCGGCGCCTCCTTCCAGGCACGACCCCCTCCCCCGGCCCCTCGGCCTTTCCCCCACTCGACTGTCTCCGACCCGGGGCGCGTGTTCCCCCCGGCCCGGCTCCCACTCTCCCTCCGGGGACACCGCTCCCTAGCCCCAGCCCGGCCCTCCCCGCGGCGCAGCACGGAGTCTCCGCGTCCCATGGCGCAACCCACGGCCTTGGCCCAGAAGCTGGTGCGGCCGATCCGCGCCGTGTGCCGCATCCTGCAGATCCCGGAATCTGACCCTTCCAACCTGCGGCCCTAGAGCGCCCCCGCCGCCCCGGGGGAGAGAGAGCGCCCCCGCGCTGAGCACGGAGCGCCGGGGAACCAGGCCTCGCCCGCCGGCCGGGAGGCCCCGGAGTCGGCCCATGGGGAGCGGGCGCCCGGTGCCGGCCCCGACGCCTGCCGCCGCCGGAGCCGCACCTGCCTTGTGAAGCCCAGGTAAGTGCCGAGAGGGGGCGCCAGGAGCGCACCTTCGGGCACTCTGAGCTGAACCCGAGCCGCAACAGGGAATGAGCTCACTGTGCTCCTCTAGGCTGGGTTACACATCCGAAAGTTAGGGTGCCGGACGGGGCTGGACCTCGTGGGAGCGGTGGCCCCAGAAAACCACCTGCCTCCTGGGGCTTCGTCTGGTCGGCCCAGGGGGCCGCGAAGAGGGAGTGCTGTGGCTCTGGTGCCACCTGTCATCCTGATCTTGTGCGCGCACGTTCAATTTTCCCTCCTTCGCCTCCCTCCGGGGCGCAGCCCGCTTTCCCCGCCTCCTGCCCTCTCCCCGCCGGCCTGCAGTGACTGCGGGTCGCCGGCGGCCCTGGAACTGCCGGCAGCACGGGGTAGCTTGACCCATCGCAGCTGAGGCCTCTCAGCGCCCCTCTCTGTGCTGGCTCTCTCCTTCCCTTGGGGGCGCGGGGCAGTCCTCTGGGACTCAGCCTCAGAAGCAGAGAAACGGTGGAGCGCTGGGAAGAGGCAGAGATGCGCTGCCCAGGTTTGGGAAGAAATACCAATCCGCAGCCTGGCCCCGTGGTTCCCCGTGACTCCAGCCTGCCCAGCCCATACTTCCCACCACTATAAGCCTGGATGAGACTAGGGTGGTGGTGGGGGCAAGCAGCACCCCCAGAAACAGACTGCAATGTGGGAAGAGGCCTCTGAGACCGCCACATTCCAAGCCCTGTTTTTCACAGTGGCACACTGCAGTCCGGAGGAGTGACATGACTTGCCCAGGGTGACACAGCAGGTGACTGAGTCAGGGCCAGGATCCAGTCTTCTTGTCCCCAGTCCAGCGCCTTCCACCAAGCTCATCTTTTGGGGTCTTGTCCCCATCCTTCCTCATGCCTTGTGACCAGCTTGTAGGCTCTTCAAGCCGTGCCACCCTAGAAACAGCAGTCTCTGCTGAGGGGCTGTTGCCCAGGAAGCTATGGATTCCCAGGTGTCTGGGGAAGAGGTGACCTTTTGCACTTCAGCATCCCACCCAGGCGGGTCCTCAAGCCACATGTGGGCTGGCAGTGTGGAGCCCAGCTGTGGGTTGGCACTTGCCTCACTGGTTTGAGCCGCCTTGATGTTGCCAGGGCGGTGCCCACTCTGTACCAGGCAGTAGGGTGCTTGGGGCAGGTGCCTAAGAGTCTCATGTTTTGGTGGTTATGCTCCAGGGACCCCCTCTGGGAGAGCCCCATGAGGGCAGAAGAGTGATGGAGAGTACGCCCAGCTTCCTGAAGGACAGCCCAGCCTGGGAGAAGACAGCCCCTGAGAACAGCATCGTGGGACGGGAGCCGAATGCCCTGCCACCAGAGGGCCTGCGCCATGGGGCGTTGTGCCTGGGAGAGTCCGCTCCTTTCTGGAGGGGTGTCCTGAGCACCCCAGACTCCTGGCTTCCTCCTGGCTTCCCCCAGGGCCCCAAGGACACACTCCCAACAGTGGAGGGTGAAGGCCCCCGGAATGGGGAGAGCAAGGCCCGCTGGCTGAGCAGCAAGGAGGGGCTGCGCTGGAAAGAGGCAATGCTCACCCACCCGCTGGCATTCTGTGGGTCAGCATGCCCGCCTCGTTATGGCTCCCTGATTCCTGAGCATAGCAGTGACCATGCCAAAAGTGACCCTGTGGCCTTCCGGCCCTTGCACTGCCCCTTCCTTCTGGAGACCAAGATCTTTGAACGAGCTCCCTTCTGGGTGCCCACCTACTTGCCACCCTACCTAGTGTCCAGCCTGCCCCCAGAACGTCCATGTGACTGGCCCCTGGCCCCGCATCCCTGGATGTACTCAGGGGGCCAGCCCAAAGTGCCCTCTGCTTTCGGCTTAGGAAGCAAGGTGAGTGCCGAGCAGGCCATGCAACGCAGCTCACGGGCCCTCAAGCAGCTTTGTCAGGGTCGAGTCACACTGCCCCTCCGTTCTGATGAGAAGACCCAGATGCCGGAGCCTGTCAGCTTAGACAAAGTCAATGCCAAGCAATTCTTCTAGGCCTCCCCTGCCTTCAGGCTGTTTCCAGGGTTGACTCATCCAATGTCCACTCAGAACAAGGCCCTGGGGATTGGGCCTCGGAATATGTGATCTTGTTCTGAGAAAGGGGGACAGACAAAGCCCTCTGTTGGGGAGAAGGATGTGCAGGCAGCCCCGTGGCCCGAGTCCAGGACCCCTCCCCCACAGGCAACTCCCATGCCCAGGGTTGAGCTCTAAACTGCTTTCAAACCAGTGTGGTACAGGGCGTCCAGCAGTCTGGCTGGGTCCTGGCCGCCCATTTGGCAGTGGCAGACAGTACCCCTTCAGTTGCTAGATTGTGGGGAGGTCTAAGAATTCCTGGGGGGTGACCTGGGGGTGACCAGGGCAGGGGGTAGCACGTGGGAGCAATGACTATTAACCAGTATGTGTGTTCTTCCGGATCTTCACAACCCTTAAGGCCACCTGATGGTGGTCAGTTTGCTTGTGTTTTGTTTTGTTTTGTTTTTTTTAAGCACTGGAACCAAAGTCAGCACTAGCTTAATCCTTTTTCCTCTCTTCAGGGTTTTTACCATAAGGATCCGAGTATTCTCAGGCTGGCGAAGGAGCCGTTGGCAACTGTGGAACCAGGGTTGCTAGGCTTAGCCCCTGGTGGGCCTCTCCAAAGAAGTGGGGAGGCAGAGTGCCCCCCACTCCACCAGCGGGATGGAGAGACAGGCCTCGGCCGGCATCAGAATCTTTGCCCCCTTCTCCTGGGACATCCAGACATCGGTCCCCGGGCCCCCTGGCCTACTTGCCCTCCAGGCCTGGTTCATACTCTTGGCAATGTCTGGACTGTACCGGGGAGTGGGGGCCTTGGGTACCAGCTGGGGCCATCAGCCACACCAAGGTGCCCCTCTCCCGGGCCTCTTACTACCCAGAGGGCCTGTTGCTCGTCCCACCCACCTGCTGGAGATGGAGGCCTTGGCCCCTGTGGGAAGTGCCAGGAAGGCCTGGAAGGGGGGAGCAGGGGAGCCAGTGAATCCAACGAGGAAGCAAACAGGGTCTCTGGTCCCAGGGCCTGCCTGCCCAGCCACCACACCAAGCTGAAGAAGACATGGCTCACAAGACACTCTGAGCAGTTTGGGTGCCCTGGTGACTGCCCCGGGGACGAGGAGAGCCCAGCCGCCCCTCTCCGGGCCCACAAGCGGGCAAGCAGCCCTGAGGTCCAGGGAGTGGCGGGCAGCCCCGCTGCCAAGCGCCCCCCTGACCCTTTCCCAAGCAGTGCAGGGCAAAGGGCCAGAGATCAGCAGGATGTCCCGGACTTGTCATTGGGGAACAAGGTGGAGGCCCAACAGCGTGAGGACCACAGAGGTAAGGGGGCAGGGGAGGGGCTGCCGGGGACCTCCTTGGGAGGGGGCAGCTAGTCTGGGAGCTTTGCAAGGAGGTGGGGTCAGCATGTCCTTCAAGAGCGGACTGTTCCAGCATCTGTTGGGAGTTCTTCAGCATCTCCAGGCCAGAGCCTTCAAGCAAGTGGCTTCTATTTCTGTCAGCCTCCTCCCAAGCCATGGTGCAGGCGGCAGTGTAATGACATGGTTCAGAGCCTGGGCTCTGGAGTCCCAGTGCCCGGCTCCTGACTCTGCTGACTGGTGGCTGCATGACCTTGATCTTGGGCTGGTTGCCTCGCCTCTCTGTGCCTCAGTTTCTTCATCTGTAAAAGGAGATAAAGAGGACACCCACGTCATAGACTGCCACAAAGATTAAATGATATCATCCATAGAAAAGGCTTTGAAGAGTTCCTGGCAGGGAACGCCCCATCACCATTCACCTTTACGGTTGTCTACCCCACAAACCCCGCCTGGAGGGCTGCCTCTCCAGAAGGGGCCCTGTCCTGCCTCGGGAACAAACAGCTGCTCTCCTAGCCAGCTGGGTCATGGATGCTCAGTCGGGACTCTGCCAGTGCTAGGGCCGTGGGCACATCCTGTGCCCCTCTGTCACCCTGTGCCCTTTGCAGGGGGTCCTGGCGCTGCAGGCCTTGGCCTTGGTTCTTCGGGATCACCTTAGGTTCTTGGTTCCCCGGAGAGTCCCCTGGACTCTCAGCTCTGGATGCCGACTCACAGCAGCCTTGCCCCAGCACCCTGCACCTGGCTGTGGGTCTGTCCACGCTCCCCTAGGCCTGTGCCTGGACTGGGAAGTTGTTGGTCTCTTAACCGTCTTGGGTTACCGCACCTGTGGCCTATGTTGAAACTCTCCGGCCTTCTCACCTTCTGGTGCCCTCCGTCCACGCTGGGATTGTCTCCTCACATTGTCACACAGCCAGCAGCATTGCTAAGCCCACAGCGGAGCTGTCCAAAGTCTACACTGGCTGGACCCCGCACCTGTGTTAGGACCATCGCCGCTCCTGCCCTGGCCCCGGGCTCAGGGCCCCTGACGCTCCTCGAGGCCTATCAGTCACGTCAGGCTGTTGCCAAGCTCCTCTTGCAGGCTTTTTCTGTGAAGCTTCTAGCTGCCTGGTCCACTCTCACTGGTTCCAAGTCAGGCCTCGTGGGCCTGGATCTAAGGACTGGGCTGGTTCTACATGGGGACAGCTGGGTGCCAAGGCAGGGCCTGGGGTTTAGCATGAGCCCAGGTAGGTCCAGACTCCTGACCAGCTGCCTTGTCCCCTCAGGACCCCGAGAAGGCAGGGCCAACCTCCAGGACTCAGGACATCAGGATGCACCCTGCTCCGCACCCCCTGCAGGCGCTGCCCAATGCCCGAGCTGTGCCCAGGCAGCAGGAGAGGTGGGAAGGTTGGCCAGCCACTCGCGGCAAGTGCCCAGGTGAGCCCTTGCCCGTGGAGGTCCCCGCACCCTCCCACTCAGGGCTCCCTCCTCACCTTCTGCCTCCCTGTCTCCAGATGGTCTCAGGGAGGGGAGCAGCAGCAGGAGGAGGATACGGCAGCGGGCTCCGAGGAGGGAGGAGGATCTGACTCAAAGGCCGGGCTCAGCGTAGGCCTCGCCAAGCACCTGCTGAGTGGTTTAGGGGACCGGCTGTGCCGCCTGCTGCGGAGGGAGCGGGAGGCCCTGGCCTGGGCCCAGAGGGAAGGTGAGCAGCACCCGCAAGGCACTGGGGGCCCTGGTAGAGCCTGCTGCTTTCACAAGGGGCATGGAGACCTCTGAGTGCGAGCCCCTCCCTCCCACCAGCACTGTCGGTCCTGCTTTGCCCTTATCCCGGCTAAGGCTCTCAGGCACCATGTTTTCTGAAGTTTCTGGCTTGGTGGGGAAGGTTGGGAGGGTGTAAAACCTGGTCCAGCCCAGCTGTCTAAGAGCTTCGGGGCTTGATATGAAACAAGACTGAGTGCCTGGTGTCTGTAAGAACACTCGAAGGTGGGGGTGCATAAGGAAGGCCTGCTGGGTGGCAAGGCTCAGGGCCGGGGGCTGCTGGGCTTTGGGCTGCTGTTTGAGACTGCAGAGCCCCTCTGGCCCCAGGCTCTACCTCCTGCATCCATTTCATGGCACCTGGAGGGCAATGTGTTTGGGAAAACACGACCCGTTGTCTGTCCCTCACTTCTGGGTGGAGGCCTATTGGTGGCTCCTTATTGTCCCAGATAGTCCAGTCCCCATCCTCTTCCGTCAGCCCCTGCCACTCCCTGAACCCGGATTCCCGACAGACCACATCAGCGTCCGGCCTGCGCGTCCTTCCCAGCTCACGCGGGCTTGTCCACTCCCTCTGGCCTCGGTGCTCTCTGTTCCTTCTGCCTGGAAGGCCCTTCCCCTCCCTTTCCACCCAGTGAATGAAAACTTACTCATCACTCAGGCCCGTTTGTGGGCCTCACACCCCACCCTCGGCCTTCCGTTTCATTCTCACGCCCCAGCACCCACCCTGTGGTGCTTCGTCGTTGCTGTGTTTATGGGTCCGTCTGCCCTTCGAATGTGAGCGCCGGGTGGGCAAGCCCCAAGTCCCAAGTAGGCTAGCCCAGGACAGGACGTGGTGTTTGTTGAATGAATAAGTGAACATTGGCTCACTGGTATCCTTGGGCCTACCAATAAGAGCCCAGTTGGAAACTCTGGTTGAGGGAAGGCACGACCTTGTAAGCTTTCCTCTCCTGATGCAGAGTCCCCTGAAGAAAGCCAGCTCGGGAGGGACGGGGTGGGTGCAGAAACGTGCTGGATGTGGTGTGGGTTGGTAATTTGGGGTCGGAGGGGAAATCCATGGGGCAGGAACTGGCTAGGCGGGGCCTGCACCTTCCCTGAGAGGCTTGTCTGGACCCAGTGGTGCTTCTGGGAGGTTCTTGACAAGGGCTGTCACATCAGGGGCTATCTGTGAGGGGCCTGGCTCCCTTCTGGGATGGCGCTCAGAGAAACCGCTCCTGCTTCTCGCCAGCCCTGCCTGCAGGCCTGCCACACAAGGACCTCAGATGGGGCCTGTGGCGTGAGCCCTCTCTGACCCTGTTCTCTCCCTGTTCATGGGCAGCAGGCCAGGGGCCAGCCACGACAGAGGACAGCCCAGGCATTCCAGGTTGCTGCAGCCGCTGCCACCATGGACTCTTCAACACCCATTGGAGATGCCCTCGCTGCAGCCACCGGCTATGTGCAGCCTGTGGTCGCATGGCGGGTGCTGGGAGGGCCAGGGAGAAAGCAGGTAGGGAAGGAGCAGGGCCCGAGGGTGGGAGGGCAGGGACTGGGGCTTGGAAGGGCTGCTCTAAGGTCTGTGGCCGTTGCTGGCTGCTTCTCTCCTAGAAAGCCTCCCTCCCCAGCCCCAGCATCAGCGCCCGCCCAGTGCCCCCTAGAGCAGACCTTTCCCTCTCCCCAGATCACAGGGCCACGCCTGTGTCCTTGCCCACCCTTAAACGGAGTCGAGTGCCTACTCTGTGCCTCCCATTCTGTCCGCTTGCACCTCTTTAACCCTTACAGCGCTGTGAGGTGGGTATTTTTGCCTCCATTTTCCAGATAAGAAAACTCAGGGAGGTTAAGTCACTCGTCCAAAGTCACAACTTCCAAGCTTTGGGCTCAAGATTTAGGCTCAGGGCTCCTGATTCCAAGTCCTTTTCTCTTCATGGTTCTCAGGTTTCTCTTCCTTGGCTCTACTGGGCCACCTGAGGGCTTGAAATTTCCCATTGTTCTAATAGACATGGCCAAAAAGAGTTCCAGGGTCAAAACGTTCAGAACACTCTATGTTTCTATGTATTCTACGTTTTGGAGTTTTACAACTCATTTCAGCATATTAAAGTCTTTGCGTTCCACAAGCAAAGGATCCTGTGTCACTTGAACCCACATGTCCCAGAAAGGCCATGTTTTATCGATTGTCAAGCCCCCTGATTAGATATCAGTGCTCTTGCTCTTCTTCCCTGACCTGCCCCTGGGCTTGCCTTGGCTTCCAGACCTTCAACTTTGCCCTTTCTCCCCGCAGGCTCTCCGGAGCAGTGCGCAGAGGAGTGTGCCCCCGAGGCTGGGCACCGTGCCTCTTCCTTGATGCTCGCTCAGTTTGTCTCCAGCCAGGGTGAGCCATCTCGGAGGGCCAGAGGCGAGCAGGGGCAGATCCTGGGGGAGACCAGGTTCCTGCTGGGATGTCCCTCAGTCCAATGTCGTGCCCTCATGAGTGGCAAGCTCAAGCAGCACAGAGCTGCCTCCTGCCTGTGCTCACAGACACACTCCATCTCCCCTCCCACCTCCAGCATTGGCAGAACTGAGCACCGCGATGCACCAGATCTGGGTCAAGTTTGACATCCGGGGCCACTGTCCCTGCCAAGCTGATGCCCAGATGTGGGCCCCTGGAGATGGGAGCCAGCAGGTAAGAAGCATGGGACAGATCACAGAGTACTAGCCCCAGGTGGACTCCAGGATGCAGTGTGTCTGCAAATTCCTCGCCTTGGCGGGGTTTGGCCCCTTTCTTTCCATACAGATGAAACGGGACGTCAGGCTACTTCCCACCCTCCCCTGGGGGTGAGGCTCCACGGCCCAGTGCCAGCATCTGTCCCACTTCCCCCCAGCCTGCATCCTGCCCAGCAGGAGTCCTCACTGTGCCCCGGAGCTCCTACCCGCTTTGTGCGTGTACCAGCCTAGCACCTGCCATGTCATGCTACAGCTGCTTGCTTTCCTGTCCCGTCTCCCCACGTCCCAGGCACATGCCCCTGTCAGTGAAGCGCTGGTTCAGCTTCTCAGTATCCCTGCACCTAACATGTAGCAGGTGCTCAATGTGCATTTTGCAAAACTTTTATGAAGCTCGTGTTTTTGATATACAAGTTAGTTACTCAAGAAATAGTTTGTTGAATGCATTTTACATGCCAGACACCATGCTACGTACCCATGGTGGAAAATTTGGAAAACACAGACAAGTATAAGAAAGAAAAGGACAGTGGCCTATAATGCCACCGTGGTCATTTTGCCATCAGTGGTTTGCCTGCCTGTTCGTTCAAGTCTGTTCTAGTGTACTTTAGACCACACCGCATGTAGAATTCCACGAGCAACTTCTTACCACCTAACGTTCTACCATATAACCTTTTACTCCTTGTAAATGCAATTTAAGACTTACAGGAGCCCATTGTTAATACATGTGTGTTGATTTGGATTGAGTTGCGTTTGCCATTTTTTAATCTCTGGTTGGATTGGGGGTGGTGGATGGCTTTAACAGAAGGAGCCGACAGAGAAAACCACCCCAGCTCCACAACCTTCCTGCAACGGGGACACCAACAGGACCAAGGACATCAAAGAGGGTGAGTGGCCCCCTGCCCCTCTTTCAGCCTGGGTTGGGGGTGCTGGGCCAGGGCGGGGAGCCTCGGAAGAGATTGGGCTTATTTTAACTGCCCCTCTCCCCACATTGCCATCACTTGTCTCAAGGTGTTCCGGAGAAAGTAAGTCTAAATCAGATCTAGGGCAAGCTTCCCAATCTCCCTCCAGCCAGACCCCTTTTCGGGCCCTCTTTTGGAGTGGTTCTGGCTGCCCGAAGGAGAGCTGGGGGTGGGCGTGGGGGAGCACAGTGCATCCAGATTGGGGCGGCCTGGTTGGGAGGAAGCAAGTGTGGCCAGGAGATGGGGGGATGCAGGAGAGCGTCTGGGCCAGAGAGCCTCCAGATGAAGGCCAGCCTGTCCTCTCCTCAACAGAGACCCCGGACTCCACAGAGACCTCTGCAGAGGGCCGAACCAGCCGAGGGTCCCTGCCTTGTCCCTCTCTCTGTGAGCTGCTGGCCTCCACTGCTGTCAAACTCTGCCTGGGGCATGAGCGGATACACATGGCTTTTGCCCCTGTCACTCCAGCCCTGCCCAGTGTGAGCAAGGGTCTGGGGGAGGGGCTGAGGGGTGGGGATGGACAGTGGCTGGGCCGGTCCTCCATGTGAGTCCGCAGGTCCTGAGCCCCTCTGTCCCTGTTGCTCCCTGCCCGCAGGATGACCGGATCACCAACATCTTGGACAGCATCATTGCGCAGGTAGTGGAACGGAAGATCCAGGAGAAAGCTCTGGGGCCTGGCCTGCGGGCGGGGCCGGCCCTGCGAAAGGGTCTGGGCCTGCCCCTCTCGCCAATTCGGTCCAGGCTGCCTCCACCAGGGGCTTTGCTGTGGCTGCAGGAGCCCAGGCCTCGGTGGCGAGGCTTCCACCTGTTCCAGGAGCACTGGAGGCAGGGCCAGGTGAGGCTCTTCCCCTCCCCACTCCCAGCTCTCCCGGCCTTGCTCAGCCTCGGGACTCTATCCCCAGGCCCAGACAGACCTGGCCCGTTGCTTACAGGGGTGGCCTGGCAACCTCTGAGAGACACCCCAGCTCCACTGTGTTGGCAGCCCCTGCATTCTCCTGTGTCCCCGTTTCCCCCCACGACAGCCTGTGCTGGTGTCAGGGATCCAGAGGACGTTGCAAGGCAGCCTGTGGGGCACAGAGGCTCTTGAGGTACTCGGAGGCCAGGTGAAGGTGATGGCCCCCCTCGGGCCCCCTCAGCCCACAAACCTGGGCAGCGCGGCCTTCTGGGATGGATTCTCCCGGCCTGAGAGTAAGTATCTTGGGTGTGGGGTGGAGGGCACTGGGAGCCAGAGCGGGGTGGCGGTGGAGTTCCCAGGAAACTTGGGGGCAGCTGGAAGCAGAGCCTAGGGCAAACACAGGGCTGTGTTGCTGTGCAGGGGGCAGGGCCTCTGGGCAGTGGGCTGTCTGTGTCTCCCCTTAGTTCGACCCAAGTCATCCGAGGGCTCGGTCCTCCTGCTGCACAGAGCTCTGCGGGACGAGGACACCAGCAGGTGTGTGTGGTACCTCAGGCTGGCCCACCCTCCCTCACTCCCACCTGCCACTGGCCCCTCACCACCCCTTCTCTCCCGCTTACCCCCACCTGTGACCGTAGGCACACTGTGCTTGCCTCTGGCAGTTGCCCAGTAGTGGGAGCCTTTGATGGGGTCTCTGGTGCTTGGGTTGAGCCTGCTGGGCATGACCTCCCTCACAGGCTGGAGAACCTGGCTGCCAGTCTGCCCCTTCCAGAGTACTGTGCCCTACACGGGAAACTCAACCTGGCTTCCTACCTCCCACTGGGCCCCGCCCTGTGTGCACTGGAGCCCCAGCTGTGTGCAGCCTACGGTAAGTGTCCCCTCCGCTCCTTCCCATTCCTGCTCCCATTCTCCTCCTCTCTGTGTCTGTACATCTGTGCCAGGGCTCTAGGACCTGTTCCCAGTTGTCCTTTCTCTGCCTCCGTGCAGGTGTGAGCCCACACCGTGGGCACCTGGGGACCAAGAACCTCTGCGTGGAGGTGACAGACCTGGTCAGTGTGCTGGTGCGTGCTGAAGCCCCACTGCCTGCCTGGCATCGTGCACAGAAAGGTGGGCCCTCAGCTCGAAGCAGGGGCGGGGACAAGCTGCAGGTGGGGGGTTCTGTGTCTGCCTGCCCTGGGCACCCCTGAGCCGGCTTTCTCCCTCAGACTTCCTCTCAGGCCTGGATGGGGAAGGGCTCTGGTCTCCTGGCAGCCAGGTCAGCAGCGTGTGGCACGTGTTCCGGGCACAGGACGCCCAGCGCATCCGCCGTTTTCTCCAGATGGTGAGGAGGGAGCCGGGAGCCCGTCCCTTCCCCTGTGCGGGCCCCCTGCTCTCTGGCAGCGGGGACTCCAGCCCCAGACACTCTCCCTGTCTGTGTTCGTCCCCTGCTCCCCACCCCCTCAGGGGAGCAGGCAGGTGCAGAGCAGGGGGGCTGAGGGCCGTGTGGTGGGGCGCATGGCAAGAGGGGGTGTTGGGGAGGAGCCAGTGATGAAACGAAAGTGGGTGTGGCCGTAGGCTGGGCACTGTGCTGGGGCCCTGAAACGAGTTACCTCAGCCAGTCGTCACAACTGCCCCGAGAGGTAGGTTCTGCTGCTTTCTCATTTTTCAGATGGGAAAACTGAGGCTGAGTGGTGGAGCTGGGCCCTGAGCTTCCGGTTGTTCCCACCCCAGACTACCACCGTGTGCTCCTCCCTGGGGCAGGTAGCCTCCCCTTCATGGGCAAAGGGAAGCCCGTCTGAATTGCCTACCTTCTGCTCACCCTTAAGTCATTGACATCTCACGAGCAGTGTTAGCTTCTTGGGGTGTTAGCAAGTAAGGGCTGAGGGAGGCCATGAGTATGGCAGGGAGAGACTGGACCAGGCTGAGGGGCAGGAAGGTCCAGGGGGCTGGGGCCAGTGTTGAGGTTAGGGCGGGTACAGGGCTTCTGAAGTCCAGCTGAGCTCTGATTGTCCTGGGGAAAGATGTCCACCAAGTATCGCCCCTGCTAAGGCACATGTCACACACAGTCATGCAGACGTCAGTGTGGCTGTCACCACTGCCCCACCCACAGGTGCACAGGTCTGTGGATGCACACGCAGGTGCTGGAATGCATCTGCAGAGGGGAGCAAACAGGGGCGCCCCTTCATACACATGTGGCCTCGTCTGGCCTGGGTGTGGCCAGCTCTGGGCAGTCCCATATGGCCACACCCCATGACTCATGGGGAAGGTCTGAGGGATGTATTCTCACTGGGTGGCCTGGGAAACACTCTTCTACCCCCAGGATGGACTTGAACTTCGGGGAGCAAAGGAGCCTTAGCACTTGCCTGGGGCTACCCTTGGGTCCAACAAGGCTCAGCAGCCTCCCCTCTTCCCATGACCGTCTTAGAGCCCTGAGCCCTAAGCCCTGAGCCCAGGGACCATTGCTGGGGTCCTAGCTGGAGGTGGCCAGTTGGAGTGTGATGCTGGCGGTCACCTCAGCAGGTGTGCCCTGGGCATCTCCTTCTCTGGCCTCTGCCAGTCCTTGTCTGTCCACGGAGCTCCCTGCTGTGGTTTAATTGGTAAAGTGCCCCCCACCCCTGCCCCAGCTGTGCCCACCCACACCCACTGGGGATCAGGACTTCTTGTGGTCATGCCTCTTCTGAATCTGGGGTCTTAGAAGAATTTGGAAGGTCTCTCCAGGAACATGCAGCTGCCTAATCACCTACAATTTAGGACACAGTTCAGGATGCTCACTAGAATCCAGCTCTCAGTGTAGGAAGTTCATGAGCTGGACTATGCAGGGTGTCTTCCTGGGTTTTGGAGAAGGGGGTATGTCTGAGGGAGGACGGTGCCCGGGGCCTGGGACACGGGCTCTTCAAGGTTCCTGGCCTCAGGAAAGCAGAGATTTAGATCCCCTGACCTCAGAGCCTTAATCCTTTCCTCTAAGCTCCTTTCAGCCCAGTCTCCAGTCCACCAGCCCCTCACCTCCCAGCCCCTTTCTTTCCCTCCCAGGTCCTCCCCTGCTTGCCCTTCTAGACTTGAACACTCAGCTCTTCCCAGCACCCTCGCAGTTTGGGAAGTCCACACCCCGTCCTACAGCCCTGCTCTCACCACCCCTCACTCACTCACTCCCCTTTCTCTTCTTTGAGGTGTGTCCGGCTGGGGCAGGCAGCCTGGAGCCTGGCAGCCCAGGCAGCTGCTACTTGGATGCAGGGCTGCGGCGGCGCCTGCGGGAGGAGTGGGGTGTGAGCTGCTGGACCCTGCTGCAGGCCCCGGGAGAGGCTGTGCTGGTCCCTGCGGGGGCCCCCCACCAGGTGCTTCCCCGGTGGGCCGCCGGACCCTGTGGAGAGCTCAGTGTCAGGAGCAGCAGGAACAGTAGCACAGTGACACCCATCCCCCCACCTGTTACAGCCTTATTCCTTTCAGGGGACACGGAGAGCTAGGCAGGGCAGGAAGCCACGCTTCCATTGTGGCAGTCTTCTTGAACTGGCTTTGGGTCCCTGGGTGCCAGCTTGGTGCCATCTCTGGCATCCCCTTGGCCTGGTTTTGACCATGCCCTTTGGGATGCTGGTGTTGGATCCAGCTGTTTTCTGAGAGCTGGGTGGGGTCATTATGTGAAGGGCCAAGCTGGGCAGTGGGCAGGGGTGTGATCCCAAGTCTCCACTGACCCTCCTGCTTACCTCCTTCCTGGCACAGGTGCAGGGCCTGGTAAGCACAGTGAGTGTCACTCAGCACTTCTTGTCCCCGGAGACCTCTGCCCTCTCTGCTCAGCTCTGCCACCAGGGACCCAGCCTGTCCCCTGACTGCCGCCTGCTTTATGCCCAGGTGAGTATGAAACTAGCCAGGAAGCCAGTGTGCCCAAGTCCACCCGTGGCACAGGTGGCGTAGCAAAGCAGACCTAGCCTTGCGCTAAGCAAGCAGCTAGGCTTGGCCCGGGAAGGGTGTTCTGGGTGGGGAGAGCCTCCGACTGTGGCTGTGAACTCCTTGTCCTCTCTCTTTCTCCTAGATGGACTGGGCTGTGTTCCAAGCAGTGAAGGTGGCTGTGGGAACATTGCAGGAGGCTAAATAAGGGCATCCCAGGTGTCTGGGGTAGGGGAGGGGGCAGGTAGACCAGGTGCTCAGCTCAGGCACAGCATAAGGAGAGAATGACAATGGGAACTTGGGGACTTTTGGTCAATTCCACAAGCACCACTCTGGGCACTGGCAGGGCACTCTGTTCCCCGCCCCTGGCCTGGGCCCTAAAGCCAACAACCACAGTGCCACCAAAGCTCCCACCTGCCCTTCGCAGGCTGGCATCTGCTCTGCCCTTTTGCCCTTCTTCATAGCACCAGGCCCACGTTGGGGGCGACAGAGTCCCTCCGACCCCTGCTTCTCAGCCCAGGAGACAAACAGCCCTTCCTTGGGGTACTTTGGGAATCACTCTGGCTTAAGCAACACCTTCTGCTGCCTCATCCCCTGCCGTCCCACCTGTGCCAAGCTCTTTTACACCACCCACCTCCTCACACGGCTCTGGGCGCCCACTGCACTGCAGGCCTGCTGGACAAGGGGCCCCTCCGAGCGCCTGCCCTCTTGCCCGAGGGAGAGCCCTGAAGTGTGGGGAGGGGGCGCCTCAGGACGATACCTAGGTTTGGCCAAAGGGAATGACGGGGGTGAGGCCCTGTCGCCGCTGCCTCCGCTCACTTGCTCACGTTCCCATTTTCCATTAAAGTCTGTTGTTTTGTGAAAGCTCCCAGCGTGGTTGGCCCTGCTCTTGCAGGCCCGTGGATTGGGAGGGAAGGGGGACATGCAAGTGGAACCCGGTGGGCAGAACTGGGGCTGTCCCTGAGGGAGTATGCACAAACACCCCGCCCGCTCTTCTTCCCTGGGCCTGGGCCCCTCCCTCGCACTGAGGAGCAGATGAAGCCTTCTGGGGAGCTGCCCCTGAGGATGCTCCTGATGCCACCATGACAGCGAGGCAGAACCCTGAGGCACAGCCACAAGGTGCCTAGAGTCCTAGCCCTCCCCAGAGACCTCTGGGCAACCCGATCTCTCCCGTCTGATCTGACCTGCAGCTCCGGGAGTGTGGTCTGGGAGAGCCCTTGCCCAGGGCATGGCCTGCCACGGAGACAGTTGGCAGCCCCGCCCCCTCCTCAGCCTGCTGGCTGGTTCTGCCCTCACTCCCCTCCCCTGGTGCATCTCGGCCCCAGCATGCTCCTGCTCGTCATACCTAATTTTTCTGCAGTGGTTCGGGAAATGTGTTTTTTTTAATGAAATAAAAATTTTTTAAATAAATTTAATATACTTTCAGAACATTTAGAAAATAAGAAAAGTCACCTGTAAGCCCACCTCCACTCACCCCCAACTCAACCATTGGTAATATTTTGGTGTATTTCCTTCTAGAATTTTCCCCAAGGATCTGTTTTACACATAGTTGAGTTGGTATGCTTTTATTTGTTTTGTTTTCTTTTAACAAGCACTGTTGCGATCATTTTCTGTGTTGCTACCTAACCTTCATTATTAATGACTGCTTATATTTCTTTAAGTGGTTTTGCCGTGATTTACATAGCCACCCCTCATTTTTAAAAAAATTAGATTTCTCCATTGTCTGCAAAACTAGGTTATTTCCATTTTTTCCATGTGATAGAAAAACAAAAACAAAAACAATTAAGACACTCCTACACTTTAGCATGCCACTGTTTGCATGTAAGTGACCTCATTTAACCCCTGATCATGACTTTGAGGGAGCTATTCTTTATTTCCATTCTACGGAAGAGGAAACGGGCAGGCTGGGGGTAAATGAGTCACCCAAGGTCACACTGCAATTTCAGTGGCAGAACTGGGATTCGGACCAAGTGTCCTGACTCCGGCCGCCTCATCTGCATTAGAGTCTTAGGGAGCAACGGCCTCTGCAGACGGCTTTGTTGTCTTCTCTGTGCTCTTCCCAGTATAAGCACTTTATAGCTCCTCCTGTTCCAAGTGGCACTGAGTGACCCTGACTACACTTCACCCTCTATAGCCTTGTCCTGATATCACCCCAGAGCACCCAACACAGGGTCCCTCTTCCAAGAAGACAAGGAAGGAAGGAAGGGGGCCCTGTTGCTGGGCCCCTTTGTTCCCCACAGTCCTTCCCGGCCCTTCCCCCTTCATGGCAGATCCCAGCACCCTCCAGGTGGACCAAATGTCCCAGGTCTGGACCAGGAGTCAGGTCGGTTCAGGTGAGGACTGGTCCTGAGACTTGAGGCACTCGGTGGCCCTCTTCCTCTTGGAGCTCAGCTGGTCCCCCACCTCACTTCGTGCAGCCCTGCCCTTCGGGTGCCTGCTTTTCCCAGCAGCCCCACTGCCCCCCTTTCCCCGCAGCCCCGCTTCCACCCTGACAGCACAGAGGCACACCCTTAGTGTTGGAAGTGACCTTGGGTGTATATATTCAATGTTGCTTTTTTCTTTTTTCTGATGAAGTACATTTTTTAGGCTCATGATTTTGAGATGACTGTAGATTTACAGTCAACTCACAAAGTACAGGCGGTTCCCAGGGACCCTCCAGTGGCTTCCTCTGGTGTCGACATGGTGCACAACCACGACACAGTGATCGGAACTGAACACTATTAAGTAAGCAGTACTCTATGGGGATTCACCAGTGTTCAGTGAATGTCCCTTCTCTGTTTCAGGATCTAGTTATGCCTGCAACTTACTATGACCTAGAGGGTAGATGTGGTTCCCCCAAGGGCACGGCAAGCTGGTGGCAGAGTGCAGGTTGGAACTCCCTACACCTCTCCACACCTGCAGCTACTGCCCTCCTTACCTTTCCCACCGTGACAAGGGACAGGGTTTGCTGCTCTGTGACCAACTCTAGCATCACAGACACCCTTGCCCCAGCCTGCCTGCCTGTCCCTGTTTCCGAGACGGCCCACACTGCCTTTCCACACACAGACTCACAAGCACATGTGGGCCCACATGGCCTGGAATGGCTGGCTCAGGTCTTGCTTCTGTGGCCACTATACTATGTGGACACTCTGGTCCACGCCACTGCACAGCCACCCCCATCAACCAGCTATCTTTCCTCTCTGGAAATGGAGGGAGCAGAGCAAACTTGACGGGTTTCTGTCTCAGCCCTGTGGAGTTCCTCAGCTCTTCCCATTCTGCCTCAGGGCCTTTCCACCTCCATCTGGGGTGTGCTCTCTTCCTCCCAAAGACTACAGAACGTTTGCTTTTGGTTGTCTCCCTCAGCTCTTGGGAAGGGCTGGCACACCTGCCCGTGCGTCCTTCACAGTTGACGGTTGGCTGTCATGTGGGCACATGTACTCCTCATGGCAGGGGTGACTGGATCCACTTCAGGGGAGAGGAGTGCTTTCCCCAGTGGTCATGGGGGAGTGGAGCTGCGGCTGCTTGCAGTCTTCGCTCTGCTAGGTAGTCGGGCCGTCTGGTGTTTATCTTAGGCTGCCTCTGAGGCGCTCAGAGCCTTGCCCAGACATGACCTCATTCTCTCTCAAATCATCCCCGGGAGGCAGAAAGCAGTCTGGGACCAACCCTGTCCCCACTTCACAGATGGGAAAATTAGGGGACACACACACACAGAAACTATGTTGACAAGGTGCTCTGTAGTCCTGGGGTCCTGACTCTGAGCCCCATGAGCTCAGCTGTTTGAGTGGCAAGAGGACTGGGGCTGGGGGCTGCCATGCTTACCACATGTCTCAGAAGATGGTGGGTCCCTGGGAGTCCCCCACAGCCTAACCCTGGGCCCTGCCTTCAGGGATCTTGTCGTTCAGTGTGTGAGAAGGAAGGGCCTCAGCAGGCAGACCTGGTGCGGCTGGGTTTCCTGAGCGTAGTCCAGTTCTACGGCAGCTCTGAAGGCACATTTCATGAGAGTGAGCCTTTGTGTTGTGGCAACAAATGCTGTGGCCAGGGCTGCCCACGGGGGGTTGCTGGGCTGCCTGGGGAGGTGACTTATGCTGACCAACCCACGGAGCTCCTCCCATGATGTTTCACCTCCCAACAACCCTGTGAAGGGAGAGCTGTTGTGAGCCTACCCTACAGATGAGGAAACTGAGGCCCACCACTTATGCAGGGACACAGAACCAGATAGTGAGCAGAGGCCTGGCATCTGGCTCCAAATCCAATGCCCTGTCTGCTCCACCAAGCGACTGTCCCCTAGAAAGGGAGGTACATGAAGCCAGCAGGAGGGAAAGGGGAGGCCTGAGGAGGATCCCAGACTTGGCTGACTTCACAATTTCACTCCAGCTGGCCCTGCCTTCCTGTCCTGAGAGGAGGTCAAAGGAAGCCCTGAGGAGGAAAGGTCAGGCTGGGAGAGAGCCGGGAGCTTGCCAAAACCCACACCCTGCTCTCCGTGCAGCGGGCCCAGCCAGCTGGGTGTGGGGGCAAGAGAGATGACAGAGCAGGACCTGGCCCCTGCCCTCCCAGGGTTCTCAGGACGTGGGATAGAGGGCCTGCAACTGCAGGGGAAATGCTGTGGGCAGGGAGCCGGCACACTGTTCCCAGTGCTCTCTCTGCCCCAAATACCCATCCTCCCATCGCCAGCCGCACCTTGTCATTCCAGATCCTAGCCCTGATCCCTCCCTCCTGTGAGCGCTACTACATCTCCTGTCCAATCAGTTAGCACTTGGCTTATAATCCTGAGTTGACTTTTTATTATAACTTTACTTTCCTAACTAGATCAGAATCTCCTCCACGGCAAGAGCTTGTGTGCCCCTGCTACTGTGACATTCAGTACAGTTCTGGTGAAAAACGAGGTTATTTGGGAAGTGATCATTTCGGGCAATGAACTGGTATGTTTATGACAAAAGCTGGACAATGGGCTTCAGCGGGGGCCCCAGGCCTCCTTGACGTTATCAGGCTTGTTGTGACATCACCGTCGCTGGCCACCGTGGAGCTCCACAGCCTGCAGGCAGGATGACGTAACCGTAAGAACCAGCGCAGGCCTGTGCTCGCTGGAGAAAGTAGAGAGGCTGGCGGCTGCAGAGGGCGAGGAGAAACAGGGAAGCCAAAGCCTGGCGGGTCCAAGTTGCCTGGCGCTGCGTGCGGTCCCCTTAGGGATTGGTCCCGCCTCCGCGGTGACCAGCCAGGCTAGCCAATCCCGACAAGCCGCGGGGACGCGCAGCCTATCAGCGGCCGGGACTCGGCTGGCGCTTCCGTGTTCGCAAGCACGCCCGGTGCGAGTCCTCGGGGGCCAGGCCACGCACCACTGGCTGCCCCACGTCGCATCTTATCTGGCTCGGCGGGTCTGTGGACCACGGCCGCCGCCTTCCAGGGCACCAGATGGCCTCGGAAGGCCTGGAGGGGGAGCTGGCGGCGGTGCTGGGGGGCCAGGGTCTGTGCGTGCACAACTGTGACTCAGAGCCGGCTGGGGAGCTGCTGGCACCCGTGCGGCTACGGAGGAACGTCTGCTACGTAGTGCTGGCCGTGTGTCTCAACGAGCAGGTGAGCGTCCACCCGCCAGCCCCCACCTCGGAACGCGCAACCAGGCCGTGGGGACAGAGGACCTACCGGCAGCTGCCACCAATTATTTGTGGGCGGCGTTTCCCAGTTTTGCAAAGCACTGTCACACTGACATCTGAGCCTGGTGCGCCCAACCCTGTGATTGCCAGATGCACAGAGGAGAAACCCTGTCCAGGAGCCTGTCTGTCTCATCCCACTAGGCCTCAGTTCCTTGTGGGGAGGGCTTACTCCCTCTCCTTTTTCCCAGAATCTAGCTAGCACTGTGCCTGCCTTGGTAGAGTGGTCTCTCTTAAAGATCAGTTAAGCATTGCAGAGACCTACTCTGTGACCCACGGGCAGTGATGGCACAACCTGCACATACACTCAGATTTTCTCACCCCTGTGCAATGCTCTTTTTGATGCTGATTTTAGCACAAGTTGCTGTGACAACAGCTAGAAGGGGCCAAGGGCGTAGGTAGGAGTCTTATGGGGTGGGGGCACATTTCAAAGCCCAGACTCCAGTGTGAGGACAGGCCACAGCACTTTATAAACCACAGGGGAGGTGAGAGATACGGTGACATATGCAGACAAAGCAGAACGCACGGCCCTGACTCGAGGGCCGGATCCCCAGCCCTTGAAGCAGCTCCCAGGATTATTAGCCCCTTTCTGCAATGAAGTCTGAATGCAAAGGGGTACTTTGCAGAGAGGGACAGCTGCAGCTGGCAGCCATGCAAGGGCAGGTCCCCAGGAGAGCTCAACAGTTTGAGGGTGTCCACCAGTAAGGGGGAACTGGGTGACTGTGTTTAATATATGACCTGGCCCCGGGCAAGGAAAGGCTGCCGGCTGTGCCCCCCGCTTTGGAGCTCCCAGCCTGGATGTGTGGGGGTGTGGATCCTCTCTCTCCCCTCAGGATGAGGTGCTGCTGATCCAGGAGGCCAAGAAAGAGTGCCATGGGTCGTGGTACCTGCCGGCAGGGAGAATGGAGCCTGGGGAGACCATCGTGGAGGCACTGCAGCGGGAGGTGAAGGAAGAGGCTGGGCTGCACTGCGAGCCTCTGACTTTGCTGTCTGTGGAGGAGCGGGGCCCCTCCTGGATCCGCTTTACGTTCCTCGCTCGCCCCACAGGTACAGCACACCTAGTGGCAGTGTGGGCAGGCAGCAATTGACACCGCTCCCCCAGCTCGTTTTCAGGCGAGATGAGCCCCTATTCTGGCTGATACAAGCCTGACATCTCCTGATTCCAGCCTGAGTGTCGGGTTAGAAGGCCTGGGTGGCTGTTTCCTTGGCCAGGCCCAGCACTTCTCTCTGTGCAGACCCTTTCCTCACCCCGTCCTCACGTCTCCCCCAGGTGGAGTTCTCAAGACTTCCAAGGAGGCAGATGCAGAGTCCCTGCAAGCTGGCTGGTACCCACGAACCTCCCTGCCCACTCCACTGCGAGCCCATGACATTCTGCACCTGGTGGAGCTGGCCGCCCAGTACCGCCATCAGGCCAGGCATCCCCTCATTCTGCCCCAAGAGCTTCCCTGCAGTCTGGTCTGTCAGCGGCTTGTGGCCACCTTTACCAGTGTCCACACGGTGTGGGTGTTGGTGGGCACAGAGGGGGTGCCTCACTTGCCTATTGCTGCCTGTGGCTTCACCCCCACGGAGCAGAGGGGTGGCATCAAGGTGGCCGTCTTGCGGCTGCTGCAGGAGTGTCTGACTCTGCACCACTTGGCAGTGGAGACCAAGGGGTTGCTTGGACTGCAGCACCTGGGCAAGGACCACATGGATGGCATCTGCCTGAATGTGCTGGTGACAGTGGCTTTTCGGAACCCAGGTATCCAAAATGAGCCCCCAAAGGTTCGGGGTGAGAACTTCTCTTGGTGGAAGGTGATGGAGGAAGACCTACAAAACCAGCTCTTACGGAGGCTCCAGGAAACATCTGTTGTCCCCGTCAATAGATAGGAAGGTGCCATCAGTGGACAAGGAGCTGGCTGTCTGTGCTCCCTACACCGTGGCTTCACCTCCCCCAGGGAGGCAGGAGGCTGGCAACTAGGGGTCTCATTATATTGCAAACAGGGGAAGTCTTCCCATGGGGACTTCCATCTCTCCTCGTCAAGGGGCAGGTCCCTACATTGCACCAAAAGGGACAGTGCCTTTACCAAGGAAGGAGTCCAAAGCTCAAGAACCCAGTTGTCCTGAGGCACAACGAGGGCACTGCTCCCTAAGGGGATGTGAGAACTTTGTGGGCACGACATCTCATCATTTTCAGTGCCGGATTCTTGGGCACCTAGAACATGGAAGGAGTGCTGGGGGAGGTCACTCCACAGGAACGGGCCCCTTGTTGATTAAACAGGTTATTGCTTACTTTGCCTTCTGTCCTAAATGTCTCTGTGGGGGAAAAGTGGGCAGGAAGGGGCAGGGGACTCCACTCAGAAGAGAAGTTCCTGCCCTCATCCCACTGACAGGCACCCAGGCCATCCCAGACAATAGGCTGACACTGCAGAGGCCGGCCTACTGGGTGCTGGGGCCTGGGCAGGCAGGCTCCTACTGTGCTGTCCACTGTAGCCTGTCTCAGGCCCACTAAGAACCTCTTCAACTTGCCTGCCTGGGTAGGATGTGACCATATCCCCTCCAGGTTTTGAGCAGTGAGACCACCAGGGAAGCTTCAGGTAGGCCAGGACTCAAAAGAGCTGCCCTGCCTGGGTTTCCTTCTGTTTGAGCTGATTCCTCCCAGTCACGCTGCCGGCCCCTGGCTCTTGCCTCTGCCCTTTTATAACTCCAGCCCAACCCAAGCCCTTTATTTCCCCTTAGCCCAGCCAAATCATACTGTGTGCTCCTCACTGCCTCTCAAATCCCGATCCGACTCTGAGCTGGGATGATGGGCTTCCCTTCTGAAGTAACTACACTCTGGCACTGAAGGGAAGGACCGGGACCCTCAGAGCCCCCTCCCACCCCAGTACCCTCCACCCCCACCCAGGCCCCTCCTGGCCACTATCCTGTCTTTCTGGCTTTGGGTAGAGAGTCCTCCTGTCTCCCCAGAGGACTAGTGTCCCCTAAATGGTGGAACCAAACCCTTTCACTCTAACTCGCTTCTCTCAGTATACAAGGGATGCCCCAGTCCACAGCCACATCCATGGGCAGTGATCTTTGCTCCCAGTATTTAGCCTGTGGCAGTTTTGAACCCTGGGTGCCCGTCAGGTTTACCCGGAGAGCTTTAGGAATAGTTCTGGGCCACCCCCAGATAGTGATTTAACTCATAGAAGGTGGGGCTGGGGCACTGGTCATTTAAAAAACCACCCAAGCAATTTGAATGTGCACTGAGGTGGGGCACACTGACCAGCCCTCTCAAGCCTTTTGCTTTCCTTGTCCCAGCATGCACTTGGTGACTCCCGCAGAGGATCCACGGCACATGTACATTTAGGGACAAGCGTCTTAAACCAGCAGGCCCACTGTCCACCACTAAAGCAGTCACACAACACACAGCCTAAGCCCCTGACATGAGACCTGCATGCAGATCCTGCAGATGGCTGGCTCCTCGCCGTGTCCTGAGGCGAGCCAGCCCTCAGTCGTGGGCAAGCGGAGCAGAAAGTGTTGCCCAGCCAAGAGAGGCCGTTCCTGGCAGACGCTGAGGAAGGGCAGACGTGCATTGCCAGAGCCTGTCTGTTTACTACCCTCCCCCTCCACTCCAGTGCTGAAAAAGGAACTTAATTTGTCTTCCTTGGGGAGGAAGATGGGCCCAAATTAGCAGTGGAGCCTTGGGCAGAAGGACGTGAAAGGTGGAGAACAGGGCGGCTGTGTCCACGCAACCACACTGTTTATTGCCATGGTGTCTGGGGTGGGGGAACACTGCAGGAGTGCCGAAGTGCATCAAGGAGGGGAGTATCTGTGACTCCTGGACACTTGAACATCTTCAGAATCGGAGAGTCCAGACCTAGTTTGCCCACTGAGCTCTGCTCCCGTCTCACGCTGACACCCATGTGTGCGTGCATGCCTGCACACACACGCCCAGTGTCCTTCACCACAGCAGTTCAGCCCTCTCCAGCTGGGAGGAATGCGGGAGAGGTAGAGGTCACTGAGTTTCCTCCTCTTTCATGTCACCTCTTGGCAACCTGTGGCTGGCTTCTAGAAGCAGCATGGGCAGGAAAAGGAAGCGCAAGGGGCTCTGGCCTGCTCCTCCTTGCCCAGGAGCAAAGCCAGCAACTGCAGTCCTGCTGTGAGGTAATGCCTGGCGCCGCCTGTGTGTTCCTGCAGGTTGAGGCAGATTCGGGCCGGGTGGGGTGGCAGCCCCAGCCTCAGAGGGCACGCAGGGAGAAGAGCGCCGGGGCTGCTGCCTGGACCCCAGCCCCTCCCTGCCAGGCCTCGGGGGGCCTGCCACCAAGTGGGTGCCCAGGCCTCCCCTGTACTCCGAGCTCCCCGGCTCCACTGGGAGAGCGTTCCCTCCAGAACACTGTGGGTTGAGCCTGGGCTCCCCTGGTCTTGAGCCCCTCTGCCCAGGTGTTGTGGACCTGCTGAGACGGGTTCAGAAGGCGCCAGGGAGAAACCAGCTGGAGCTGGAGCCTGGCACCCAGCCCCCAGCTCCCCAGGCCCTCTCCCGCCCTGGTAGAGTTGCATCAAGGTTCTCATTAGCAGCTGCCCCCGCCTGGGCGCGGAGATGCTTTGGCCATTTGCCATGAGGCGGTTTGAGATTTTGCAACAGTCTCCAGGAGGGCCAGGCAAGAAGAGTGGGCTACCCCTGCCACCCAGTAACCCTCCACAAGGGTTAAGTCAAAAAGTGAGGAAAAAAAGTGAAGTCTCAGCAGCATCCATGGTACCTAGTGTGACAGAGACAGGGCTCCCGTGCACTGTCTTTCTGTCCTGCAGTCCTGCCCGGCCTCGGAGCTGTCAGCTTACCTCCCTTGTGTGGCTGGAACTGAGTCACAGGTCTTTGCCCTGGCCATGCATTTCCTGTAGAGGCAGGTGACAGGCACAGAACACAGGAGGGTCTGGGTTCCGATGGTCACCTGGCCATCACCCAGCTCCACTGAGAAGACGCTGGGGACACCATGCTGCCTGGGAGGCCACCCCTTTCGCTCCTTGGCTTCTGGTACCTTGCAGACCCACTTCCTGAAGCCCAGCCTGGTACAGCCAGCACGGGAGGGTCTCCTGGAGGGGACTTGGGAGACACAGAGGCAGAGGTCCCTGGACACAGAAGAGACGGGGCCAGGCCCCCGCCCCGGGAGAAGAGTGGTGGCAGCTGTGCCAGGCAGGAGGCAGCTCCTGGGCAGAGGTGAGGTCAGGAGCCTCCCCTCCCGCCATGCTCCTGGCTCAGATGTGCCCTTCCAGGGGTGGGGAGAGGTGCGGATGAGGACCCTGTGGGGGGAACTTGACGAAGGCAATGGCAGCCAGCTCCTTGCAGAACTCCTCCAGGACAACCACACCCTGGAGGAGGGTCTGATGGTCCAGCCTGAGGGCAAGAGCACAGAGTCATGGCTGGAAGGCCATCGGTGACATCCCAGTGTCCCTGAGGAATAATCCAGTGGCAGACCCTTCTGAGTGAGGACAGAGCTTTGCAACAGGCCCTCTGCACCAAGGCCAGGCACCTCCCCACCCTGGGGTGCTCTGCCCTCTCACCTGGGGCTCTTCCCTAGCACCCAACTCCCTCAGTTACTTACTGCTCCCCAGGAACGTGACCCATCAGCTGCTTGCGCACCAGGAACAGTTTGCCTGGGAACTGGGGTACCCTCTGAATCCTCTGCATCAAGTCCCCGATTACCTGGAGCAAGAACAAGAGAGGACTGAGGTGGGGACCAGCAACACTCAAGCGAGACGCCCTTGCTCTGCTGCACCAGGACATGATGCTTATGCTTCCCTCTGGCACTGACAAGGGTCCTCACACCCGCGGCCCCAGCCCCACCCCGCACCCCTCCCTCCCTGCCCACCACTGACATGCTCCCAGGCACCCTTACCCGGACCAGCACAGAGAACAGGCTCCTGCAGCCCGGAGCCAGGTTGATGTAGGGGTCCAGGAGGTACTCGTGGATGAGGGGGTGGGGGAAAAGGGCGAGCCGGGACAGAACTGAGGTCACTTGCAGGTTTAGGCTGTATGGCTGCAGGGAACGTGGTGGACAAACCAGGGGTTGGCCGGGGCTGGTGAGCATTTTTTCACCCCCCCAGAGAGGTGCCTGGCCAGCATGAACGTGTGCGGGGGTGGGAGACGCACATGATGTGTGTGTGTGTCATGGCTCCCCGGGGCTGAGGGCCAGGCGTGTCAGGGCACGCGGAGCAGAGGCGAGCCGGGCTTCCCGCCTGGGGAAAGGTGGGGTCAGGGGTGGAGCTGCAGAACTGAAGACAACTTGACCCCCTACCTGCCATGGTCAGGCCTGACCATGGAGCTCCCCCAAGGGTTCCAGAGGCACCCACCTGGGGTGCTCCTGTGGGCCCCGCCCTCTGTTTGGGGCCCAGTACTGTTGGCTACCTGCTCCAAAATCCGGGACATGCGGCCAAACAGCATTCGGAGAAAGTGCCCCTCAAAGAAAGGCCGCTCGGGCTCATGGGGGTCCAGGGGTGTGAGAGCCGGGGTCCAGCCCCAGGGGGCGACTCGGGAGCTACACTCCTGGAACTGGACCAGAAGGGAGAGCTGAGAGGAGGCCCCAGGTCAGGAGGCCACAGCGCGGCAGGGCAGGGTGGGGCACATGGGAAGGTGGGCTCAGGGTATCATGGCTGGAGCTGGCAGTGCCCTGGGCAGAGCTCGCAGGGGAGAAGGCAGAGTTATCAACCCCACAGCTCTGGGGGCGAGGAGTGGGTGCCGGCAGCGACCTGGACACTCACCAGTCCGTAGGCATCGTGGACGTAGGTGTCATAGCCAGTCTCCTCCAGGAAGGCTGAGGTCTTGGCCTCCTCAGGAACCAGGCAGAGGAAGCTAAGAGACAGGAGGTTTGGTGTGGCGGGGCGCCCCTCTTGCCCTGCTCCATCTACCCCTGGAGTGAGCACCGTGCCAGGCTGTGCCCCAGTGGGGCTGTGACCAAAGGCAGAACAAACTCAAGTGGCTCAGACTTTCTGACCTGCCCCCTACCTGTTGACAATCTCAGTCACCGCTGTCTTGCCGTCTAGGGAAGTGGCAGGGACTGGGGCAGGCTTGGCAGGGGGCTGAAAGCTGGCATCGAGGAGGCCATCTGTGAAGTAGGGGTCCTCCTCCAGGTCTCTGTGGCCAGAGCACACACGCGTGGCACCAAAGAGCCCATGAAAGAAAAACTGTGGGGATGCTGAGGGCTTGGGTGGGGCCCGGGTGTCCTCACATACTTACAGGGTATCCTCGTAGCTCTCGGGCTCCGGGCAACCCCGGGCCACGTAGGGGCGGCCCTCGAGGTGGCACAGGACCAGCTTTC